CGGATTGGTGTCTACTCCGCTCTTCGCTGTCGTCGCACCCCGTCGCTTGGCGGGTTTTGTTTTGATTCCGTTTCGTGGGAGTTGTTGAGTGTGTGTGGGTGTGGGTGTGGGGGTGGCAGTGGAGGAGTCGCTGGGCTCCCACCCTGCATCGTTGGAGCCATGTTGATTCTGCTGCGTCGTGGGAAATTAAAGTACTTCCCAGCAGCCGCCCAACTCGAATACAAGATTTTAATTGCCGCTTCCCGAGAGGTGCACTGCACCAGAAATAGGAACAGCCATAGCAGCAGCATGTGCAGGTATTGGTGCCCCTTCGACCACCACTGCAACCAACTGTTGCCCCACCCCCATGGAGCTGACGAGCGGCTGATGACCCAAGGACATACCTGCCTGAATCGGTTCTGATTGCACAGTCGAAGTTTTTCGCTACGGATAGCGTAGAGCATATTAAATGGAGAGCATGGTACATACTATAACTCCCCCTGGATCCAACTGTGCGATGATTGCTCTTTATGGTTCCATGGATAGATTGAATTGATAGAGAGAAAGCATCAGTTAAGGCATTCATTGGAATAGCAGCACCGATACTTTAAACGCGTTTTCTTTCAAATAAAAGTTGCCCGAAAAGGAGCTCCGAATAATTGCACAACAAGTCTGCTTCCCTGACAACAACTCAGATTCGTACTCGTCTGAATTCCCAAGAAATTAATATATAAGTACTTCGAGCACACGGTCAATTTAGTTGCTGTAAACGCTGCGGATTAAAAGCTTAGGAAGGAGGAGGAATTCTCAGTATTTATTTTAAAAGTATGAAGCAGATTAAATCATGGCTTTTTGCGATTTTAGCCAACTTTTTCTTAAATTCTTTAAACTGTGTGTATGACACACGTAAGTGTGTAACTTCCATGTTTTGTGTGTGTGGCCAGCCATGTCCAACAACTAAAAAAAATTGTAATCAAAAAGTGGAAAATAATATCAAGTGCAGCGTGTTTTAAAAAGAGTTGATCTAGATAAAAAGTGGCATCGGAATTTGTTTGAGAGCTGCCCTTTCGTATCAGAACTTTTTATCTGCAGTTTGACAAATGTGTGAGTGGAGTCTAAAAAAACAACAGCAACAACAAAGTGTTTGATGCTCTGGTTAACAAACAACAACCGCCCTTAAATTTATGCACTAAATAAGTGAATTCAGGCAGCATCAAGATAGAGCTTAAAACATTTGTCGAGAGTCCGCAGTATCGGGCATGGAAATCTCGACAGAATGAGCTCTGCACTAGCTACTCCCCGCCCTGCACAGTGGGCTCCGTGCCACCCACCCAGGGGCACGCGGCGCGATTTTGTTGGCCCCGAACAGAGGCAACCTGCGGCGATGTTCCATTTGGGACGCAGAGGTACTTGTACTCGTGTAACGAAACCCAGTTGGAAAGGAAATGTCTTGAACAGATTTCTGACTTGACTTTTACACGTGCTACGCCATGCAGGGTGTGCAGTAAGTATTCGAGACAGAAAGAATAAGTCTGAAATTCGAGGCTATAAAATTTTCAGGAATTACCTGTGTTACCTGCATGCATTTTCGATAAATATAACTCTGATTTGTGTCGATTGTGGCAAAGCAATGTATCATTTATATCCCTAATATTCTCATTGCGATTGACAGGTATCATATAGTCGTTAGGTGGACTAGTACTCGTATATTATTTGCACTTTGTTGTACTGCCATTCGCTTCTTGTTGTGTTTTTGAGCACTGAAAGTACTGTGTTGTCGACTCCGCACCGCCCCCTTCATTTACATTTGTTTCATCCTATTATCCCGGTTAACCGTACCGTTCCCACAACCGTATGGCTACCCGCATCCCCTGGGCCCCTACCCAGTGCCGTGTCTGTGCCATTTGTCAAGTTCTGGTACCGACTTCGGCCCGCGGCTTTTCTGTAATTACACAGCCATGGAGGCCGGGTAAATGAAAGCGGCTTAAAAAAGCAGCGCGCTGGGGTTTGCGATGCTCGTTAAAATTTGTTGCTCTCTCCCGTTCCGATTGTTGTCGGTTCTCGGATTGTTGTTGGCGCCGCTGTTTCCGATTTAGTGCAATGCCCAGAGAGGCACTGGATGGATAGAAAGTATTTCGCTGGTATATGCCAAGCAGATTGAAACAGCGGCACACAGAGAGCATCGCCCGACCGTGATTCATGATCCATCCCTTATCGGATGCGCACTTTAATGCTCATTCACTTTTGCCAACAATTAAGGGGTTTTAATCATCGACAAGCTTCCATCCCACGGTCATGAATGTGTGTGTGGCATCGGCATCGGCATAGGCATAGGTCCCCCTGGAGGCGAGGCTGGATGTGTGCCGTGCCTTTATTATTCGGTTGATTTACTATCCAAACAGCTGTGAAATATCATGGCTTGACCCCTTACCTAACTGAACGGAAATAGGTCTAGAATATATGTATAAACATATGTATATATTTATGTATGTATGTATGGACATAGCGTATACGTAATACGTATGCAAACCACTGTAAGGTTGAAGTTGTGGCTGTACAGTTGTAGGCTTAAGGGAAAACACTGATATTCCGTTAACTGGTTTTGATTCCATTTAAATTCTTTTTTATGAACGAAAAGGCATGCTGCAATGAACACAAGGAAGTACATTTGTATTTCTGCTACAGTTTGCCCTTCTTTCCTTTTGTCTTTCATCTTTTCACAGTAGAAAACGAGCAACGTAATCCCCTAGTTTATCTTCACTCCGGCGGACAGCTTGTTTACACCCACATTTATCAGTGCTGTCCGCAATGGCGGGGGGAATCGACTGGGGGCTGGCTAAAAGTTTTGAGCAACTCCTTGAGATAAATCAACTGGCATTAGGACTGGCTGCTGCAACGAGATAAATAAATTAACTCGTTCATGGCGGCTGACAGATGGACTTTGTGGCATCATAATGGGACACAGAGTAGAGTTCTTCTCGGCCCTGTTGGGTTCCGAACAAACATGTCGCTAAAAACTCGTGAATGCTGGCTAATTTATGGCTAATTATGGCTTCTTCGCGTCGTGCCACAATAAGTTGCAAGCGGGGCATCTGGTTGTCCCATCAGCAACATATGCCGCCTGCTAGGCAGGTAGTTATGCGCTCGCCAATTGTCTGGCATCCTTTTTGGTGGCTCCTCTCGGGGCACACCCAGCGAGACAAAGCGAGCACGACAGCGCTCGGGCTTGCCCGTGAATACCTCGTTAATTAAGTGGCCTGTTACGAGCAGCTTACCAACGTAATACATTTTTATGTTCGCAAGCGGAATTATAACTGCCGGGCATGTGTGGATGTCCACAATGTGCCCTGGCTGGGTCAAGGGCTATGTGGGGGGAGGGATTCCAACACACACATGCACTTATTCAGTCACATAACGACTCGTTCGACCTTCCCGCTGGGGCAATTGCGAAGCCAAACATCATTGGCATTTCTGTTTGAAGTTTCTGAGTGCCAATTAACTGGGACGCGCGCTCTCCACCTGAAGCAGACGGCAGTCCTCGGACCCTCTCGATTGAGTAGTGTAACCCATATACAGTGGAAACTCTCTAACACGATTATTCAGATAGATATAAGCCAAATGAAAGAAAGGGCACTGCTACTGGAACAGCACCAAAGAGAGAGGTGCTACCGCTACCCTTTTTTATTGGGCCAAAAGTTTCCAAATCAAATTTAATTATTCGGATTTAAAGATATATCTCTTATAAGATTTATGATTCAAGATAGACTTTTTTTAATTGTATATTTTTGTAGGTTCTCTGGACTCTCAGCACCTTGAACGGGCTGAGTTGAGTCGTGCCGCTGGCATTGACTCTGGGAATACAGCGATAACATCGCAAACTTGGTCATCAACACGTAGCCCCATTCGGGATACTTCAACCACACAGAACAACTCGTCAAGGACCCCAAACGACGAGGCAGCCACGTGCCGTAAAGCTCTCCTACCACCCGCACGCCAGCATGGAGGAGTTGGAAGGCATCGCTCGGTGAGCTTTTAAATTAAATCACAAAATGAGGATAGAGCGACTTGGGCAGCCCACGCAGCCCGCTAAACCAGATAAATAAACCCTTTGGCCGCAGTCCTTGGGGTCTTGCAGGCAAAAGGAAAAGAACTGCTCCTTAGCACAGATAGCTGTGGGGACAGGAAGTCAGTCTGAAAGCCGATGGCGATGGCGATGGGGAGGAGGCTATGGCAGCCGCCTCGTGTGGCGCTTGCCAATTCGGTGGCCGGTCTCGGTCTCGGGCCCCAAAAGGGATAATGGCATGAAATCCAGCTGAATGAAAAGAAAGCGGCAAATCATGTTAAGAGATTTAAATTGGATTAGTTGACATGTGAGTGGGTCTGTGTGCGGTGCACGGGTACGGGTACGGGCACGGCTGTCAGTGTCAGCCTGCGCAGACGATGGCCGTGAAGCCATCGCCACCTCTGTGTCCTGGCAGGGGCCCGCCACTCGCTCATCTTGACATCAATTTTGTCACTTGATTCCACCTCCTTTTGCATTTTGTTTGTTTGTTTGTGCTGGGCCCCTTTTTCCTTTATTTATTCTGTATGCTTGACACAATTCCTCGTCGAGAGCTTACGGCTCGAGTGCCTGTTTCTCCGGCCCTCGATGCCATTCACTCTATCTGCTCTTTCGCAGTCCGCAAGCCAGAGACAGCGACAGACTCAGAGCCCCAGTTTTTGCATTTGACAAGTACAGGGAGCGAGGGTCAGCTTCCGGCACCTTCCATCACCGTTCAGTTTCCTGGGCTCGTCCGTGAGTGATACACAAGGATAAAACGTCAGCTTTGAGGAGCTCAACATCTAATAAAAATATTACGTTAAAGAATGATTATACAGAACACAGAGAATGTACAAGGTACATGGATTATCGATTGCATTTTCAGAATTTAAATTTGTCTGAACCATTTCTAGCAAGAGACAAGCACAAAATACGAGCCTCATGGATACCAATCGCTTGTTAAATCTTAGCAATCAACATGTCGGCTACGACAGAATTTTATTTACCAAAATGCTGAACTACATAAATCACAGACACTCTGTCCCTGCCGAATGCACCGTCGCCTAGGCTCCGGTTTTCTCGAGCGCAGGCTTCTTCCGGTACTTCACCTTTGAGGTGTATACATCGTAGCAGAGGCTCAGGGAATTGTCGTAGATGACACGATATCGTGGCTTGATAAGGAAGAAGTTGATGAACTGGGCGGCCGGCCAAACGGTCCAATCGGCCACATAAAGGACGATTGCCTTCTCCATGACTTCCGCCTGGAACTCCTCCCAGCTCTGGCGCTCCAGCACTGCCATGGTTATGAAGAAGACCGCGATGTAGAAGGGCGAACAGATGATCTGGTCCAGCAGTATCTTGCGCATCACTATGCCGATGGTGCGATTCGGATACCGATGGTCCAGATACTGGTACCAGTGGTGACAGACAAAGCCGACCGTGAAACCGCCAGTGCCCATGCGGAGAGTGCGCGTCCGGTTCCAGCCATCGATCTCCCCAACATAGCGCTCGTACGACTGCTCAATCGTGTCGCCCACCATGCTGAGGCTGGTCGAGATGCTGAGGTTTGTGTAAAGCAGGTACCTCTTGCTGAAGGCGACGCTGTGCCAACGATTCAGAGCCTGCAGCAACCTCCTCCACTGGGTTCGACAGAACATTTACCCAACTGGTTGGCGATCCGGCTAGACTACGATCAGAGCTTAAAAACAAAAATTAAATAAATAATGTGACAGGAACAACTTTATAAATGACAGCTAGTATTGGTCCTTTCGTCATGATCAGCGGCGGGCTGGGAACACCTGGGATCTGATTATTAAGTATACGCCGCGTGGTCTAGGACACGACCACTGGCTTTACCCATCGGTATGTAGAGGCTCTTTCTGTCTCCTTTCTTCTAAATTATAATGTAAATGCCTGCAGCAATGCCCTGAAATATATTCGTTAAAGTCTAACTCAGAACGGTGTGTCCGAAAGGTGTTGCAGAATTGGGGGGGAGTCCTCATTTAGGTCGCAAAACAAAGAACAAACAGGCAATGAAATCAATTTGACGTCAGCCACTGGAAATGAGTTTTGGGGGGGATTTGCCGAGGTTCCATCCGGAATGCTACACACAAAGGCGCGAACACACAAGTACAAAGCGCCCTGGGCAAGGTATAGGGATAGGGATTGGGATAGCGACTGCCGTTGAAAGGATCAAAAAGGGTTGCGCATAAAAATCGCTTCGTTCGGCATTCAAATGAGGACGCTCCTCCACACATTTGTTGCTCCTCCACCCCCGTCCCTGGGGTTCGAGGCCTTCAGCGACCGACTGGGTGTTGGGGAGTTAATGCTGCCAAATCATTCGCACGCGATTCCCGACCGCAGACCGAACCGAACCCGACCCATTCCCGTGGGGAAATCAATGTGTGTATGCATATGGAGACGGGTCCTCGGCAGCCCGGTTAGCCCTTTCCTCTGCCCCCCTGCCCCCACCCTCACGCACTGGGCTATGAATTGAAAAATATTTACGGCTTTCGACATTCTACGCTAAAATCCAATTTTATTTTTATATTTTGTCGAAAATCCGCCATAAAACGAGGCTACGCCAGTGACACCCACGCCCACGCCACACCCGTTTCCAGAATCGGAAGGCTGCCCTCCTTCCCCACCAGTTGTCAATTCAAAAGCGGGAACCGTAAATTCGGCTTTGCATCTTGTTTGCTGCCCGGCTCCCTTGTATCAACTCTGGCTCTGACAGGGGGTTAGAATGCCATGCCATAGGGAGGGACAAGGGGCAGGGGCAGAGGCAGAGGCATCTGTTTCATTAGCTCGGCCTGCGCTCGACAGATGAATCTACCGCCGAATCTACGACCCCATTGTCATGCGATGCATTACGAGTATTTGCCAGCATTAAATATTCGGATTCTGAAATGCAAATGCGGGCAATATTCGAGTGTCATAGAAACATACATATGTACATACATAGAAGCCCAGCCACGAGATCATCCAATAATGAAATGGAAAATAGAAAAAACAATTTTAATTTTGGACAGATTTTCGTATAAATTTAATGCTTTGTCAGAGTCCAGTTTAGTTGCGTTATACATTTTTTAAGGAAATACGGGAAAATGGGACAATTTTCCTGTTTTTAATTAATTATTATTGCTGCTCATGGAATAAATTTATTTAGGTATATTACTATCAGAATGATTTGTCAGTCTAAACATCATTCTTCATACATTCGTACTGTAGCTAATGCAAATTCCCAGATTCAGATTTCCAACGAAGCATATAGAATATTCAAAATAGTCCTTCTTTTGTTTTTCTCTCACATAAGAAATTCAAAGCAACCAATCATCACTTTGAACTTGAAGACCTTTTCCGTAAAAAAAGGTTTCCGCCATTGAATGCTTATGCGGTCAGTTTCGGAACCTCCATCAGAAGAGCCCTCTAGGCCTAATTCTTTGTGCAAATGAAATGTTGTTTACAAGAGTCTTCTATTTACATACTCGCACTCCATCCACTCCTGGTCCTCATTCTCATTCCCATTCACATTCACATCCACATCCACCTCCCCAGGGAACAGCACTCGGCACACAGGAGAGATATACTGTGTCGCCTGTCCTGCGGCAGGACACACGAGTACAAGTACGGGGAGTACGGCGCTGGATGCTCGCCAGTGCCATAGAGCGTGACGGAACAGACCCGCCGAAAATGGAAAGAAAAAAGGTGAGGAGGAGAAGGAGTGCATTTTCATAGTTTTTCCCACTTTGTTATGCTGATTTTTCACATTTTTCGTTTCCCATCCGTTTTGTCTGCTCCGCTCACTTGGTTCTTTTTATATCCTGTCTCGTTCGTTCCGCTCTCTATATTTTTTCCTGCCACTGGATCCAAGTAGATGTGGGTCTATGGTTTGGGTCTGCGTCCGTGCCAGGGTTTTTGGAAGGGTTGTTTGTTGGATGTGTTATGGTTTGGCGCTTGGGCATGGAGCATGTGTGCATTTTAATTGAATTTTCCATTTCGCTCAATGAAAGCAAAAGCCGAATATGCGGCCAGCCAGCCACAAAAAGTGTCATAATCACCTGCTGGCCGGCCCAGGAACAAGCGGACATTGAAAAGCACAACTCATGGACTCGTAAATGCCAGCGGATTGCAGGGCAGTGGAGTTCATTGGATTGGTTCTGTTACTTGAACACAGATCAGCGTTCCGCCTAATATATTTTGCAAATCACTCTCTAATTGATTTTGAATCGATTTTGAATGACATTTTAGTTCATGTTTGGTCCCGGCTTTATTTTCCAGCGGTTGCTTCGACTTCTGTTTATGCAAATCAAATCAAAATGTGATTTTAATGGGATTTCCACACTGTTAGCAAACGATTGAGGACACGTGCTGCTGGTTGCAATGGGTGTGGCAGCCAAAAAGTTTCGTTTAGTTTGTTTAGTCTGCTAGGAGTACGGAAGTACGGAAGTATAACATGGTGGCAGGAGAAACTCAAATCCATTCCAGGAAACCAAACTTATTTAATTAGTGGCAGGGAAATTCTGAACTCTGGTCCGGCCATCGTCCGCTGCTGCTTGACTGCGATAGGAAGGCTCTAAAAATGAACTCATTTTCATGGTATTTCCATGGATATGGAAGCAGAGGTTGATGCACGATAAAATACCATAAATTATTTCAGAAAACAGCCCGGACCGTATAAAGTTAATAATATTAGCGAAAAAAGGGTTATATATTGTGCTGGTCCTTTATTTTCATGCGACATTTTAGCAAATTCAGCAAGTTTCATATTCAAATCTCTGTGGCCTGCTCTCTGTTTACGTAAATGCGATATTTGCCAACAATCAATTTGCATATAAATATTAAATTATGCATACAATTACCAATATGTGGCATTTTTGTATGGGAACAAAGAATATTATTGAAATTTAAAGAATTTCGTAATACCAGTAGAGCCGATATTTACTGCGCTAATTAAATGGCAAGGCATTAAATTCATATTTAATTATAAACTAATAAAATCAAGGTCATAAAATCAATGATCTAAAGGAGGAACAATTTCCAAAGAATTACTCTCTTGCAGGTTCTCTTCTAGTCGATAGATACAGCTTCAGAGTGATGTGATCGCTGGGACACAAATGGAATTCGCAAATGAGATCTGTAAATGGCAAAGGTCAATTGACTCTACTTTAGCAATCAACACTCGGGCTGGCACATTTAAATAGTGCCATGGGGAAAAGTAAGTCAGTTACGTTAACGCGAAGTGTAACGAGCAAATAGTCAACATGGCGGGGCATCATCGCATTGCCAGTCGTGCCAATTTCGTTTGAGCAAACAAACAACGCGAGCAGCCACGCCACCCCCAGACCCACCCAGTTGCCAGCGTGTGCTAGCCCTGTCCAAACATGGCTCCCCTCGTCCGCTAGCTACCTGGATGATGAAAAAAGACAAAAGGGCAACAAAATGCCACTGAGAGAGCTGGCAGGTGGCTGATGGTAAAGCGGACAGGTGGACAGGTACAGGTGCAGGACTGGCACTGGCGCTGGTGCTGGTGGGATACATGATTATCGCGGGGGAGGAACGGGAGGTAGCTGTTTATGAGGCGCAAAATGTCATACATCATGCGACAGTGCGCCGGCAGGTTGTACCGTGTTTCAGCACGTTCGCTGTCCTCCGAATCGGAGAAATGTCACCATCCACGTGGCGAAACGAGATGGGATTGGGGTTGGGTCGAGATTGGGCTGCAGCGGAGCGGAGCGGAGGAACGCCAGGCATGCAGAAAACAACGTCAACAGCGCGGATTTGTAACAGAGACGGATCTGCTAATGCCTGATACGAAAACCGAGTGCTCCTTGGATAGGATAGGGGTTCTCTGCGTCATCATCATCATCATTTCATGCCATAATCCACATCCACCTCCCCATTATCATCTTCATCATCTTCATGTTGTGCTGGAACGAAGTGAAGTGAACTGCTGGCTGATGACCGGGGATGTGGATGGGTAAGGGGACAGGGACAGGGACAACGAGAGAAGTACCTTCTTGAGATAGGCATTCGCGCCGAGCTAAGTGGCACACGAAGCGCTAAACTATTAAGCACATGCTGCCACACTGCCACAAGGAGCCGTTGCCGTTGCCGTTGCCGTTGCCGCTACCGTTGCACGACAGTCTTTCCAGTCCTCCCCACTTTCTGCCAGTCATGATTGCTGGGGTAAATGATACACGAGAAGGAGCCCGAGCCCATGCCCGCCCAGGAAGTGCTCGCCTGTGTTTTTCTGGCTCTAGATAAATCATGCACACAAGTCTGTTGTCCTGTGGGGGGCTGTACGGCTACGCCCCATATCAGGTCTGTGAGATTACGACATAAATTTTGGACGCCAGCACGTTCGGATATTTCATTTTGTCAGAACTACCTACCAGCGTTGTCCGGACAAGTGACAGATTATTGGGGACAATTGTAAGATGATGGGAAAAAGTTCTGATTGTAAAACGTAACTAAAACAATTAAAAACAGACCAAGAGGCCATGCCACTTTTTGTATCTATTTAATTTATATAAGATATACAAATTATTGATTAATCATCCTGTAAATTTCTCTGGTCAGAATATCTCTTGTGTCCTTCGCATTAGCTCTTTGAAAAGAGGATAATGGCCGACTGCTGACTGCTAAACTCGAATGTTTAAGCCATCACAAGAAGCCAAATTAGTAACATACACTACGTACCTCCTGCTTTCTCTTGTGTACTGCCTCTGGCTGAATTACTTTTGAAAGGCACTGTTGCAGGGGGTTGGCAGGGATGGGCGCCTGGCGCCGTAATTAGAATAATTTTGCGCTGCGTTGCGCTTGGCAGAGCTGCAAATGCAGCGCCATCTGTCGGAAGGTGGCTGCCGGGAGGCCCAGTACACAAGACAAACATGCTATGTATGCATGAGTGCGGGGAGGCAGAGGCCACGTGGCACATGGACTTGGTCTGCACTGCCGTGCATGACGAGCAGGTGCCAAGAGGAAAGGTCACCGAACCCAGGTGAGGAGGAGACTGTGTGTGTGGGGGTGTAGGTGCGGCAGTGTCACAACGTAATCATGGTAAAAGCAGGTTGTAAACACACATACACACATAGAGGTTATGCCTTTAAATTACACAAATTTAATTAATTCCGCAGAGATTTTTCATTGGTCGCCGACGCGCTCTTGGCTTTGTGCCTTCGGATTTGCTCCTTTGCTGCTTGCTCTTTGCTCTGCCTTCCACTTTCCCTTCCACTGATTTCCCCATCATCTGCGGTTGAGTCGTTTTTATTGGAATCAGGCACAAGCGCCTGCCTTGAGCCTGAGTGCCATGAGCCTTGGGCCGCCTGCCATATGTGCAGCTTCGCGGGGCTCCATTTTATTTTAATTAATTCCAAAGGGTGTGTGGCAGCTGCTCCTGTCACTCGCTGGGTGGCTGGAGTCGGGGAGTAGCCGAAATGATTATGAGTAATTAGTTTTAATGCGCTTCCAGCCAGGACGGCAGTCCTGGAAACAGCCGGCTTCCCTGGCCCTACCACACCTGCAGGCTGCTACGCCAGTGCCAGGTGCGATGACAAGCCTGCTGGGCCCCACCAATCCCATTTTGCTAGGTAAGCTGTGGAGTCCTTGCTAACAACGACCCGTGACGTTTCCAGGAGCTATTTATGTTACTTGGCTACGAGTTTGATATTGCATTTATAAATCATAATTTAATAGTTTCCTTTTGTAGGTAGGCTAACTCATTTTACTAATGACTAAATCCCCCTTTTAGTTCTTCCTTTGATTTGCACTTTCGGTACAGTGGATTATTGTGGTGCAGTTGTCAAAGAGCTACAAATTGATGCTCGCCCGAATAATAAATGAATTAATTCTCAATTTCGTTTTGTGTGTTTCCCTTCCATACAGCAAGGCTGGCAAAAGAGAGGGACACTGTTGGTCCTACATGGTTTTCCACCTTGACCTGGGCTTACAGTGCTCATACTCGTAATGTAATAGGTTTTGAATCTTGTACAGCCCTTTAAAATTCACGACAAACAGTAGATGGGAGAAGGAACCAACTGGCAGGTGGATTTCTGTGATGCCTACGATCATGATTTTAAGCAGAAATTAATACACTTTAAAGCTGGATAATTTTGTATTAAATATATACATTTACTTTTCACTTTCTTGTGAGATGTTTGTGTGTGTGTGGCCAACCACCAAAGCCTTTGAAATGGAATGATTAAATGGGTTTATAGTTTTCTTATAGCTGAGGGGGGACATGCATCAAATGACTACAAAATATGTGATTAAATATTAATTTTAGCAGGATAGTATATATGATTAAAAAGTTGCAACTTTACCATGTAGAACTTTAATTAAAATAAAAGCAAAATATGGTAAAATTTTCTGCAAAATGGAATTACATAAAAACACTAATTAAACAAAAACAATTGTGGATACAAGAGTTTGAGTTCGGTGTTTTTTTGGCAGCTAGTGAATGTCACTAGAAATAATTAACATTTCACTGTTTGAATTAAAGGAAAAACCTTTTGCGAATAAATAATTAAAAGCTTACATTTGAGTGCGACTCTATCTCTGTGCTAAATGTGGATACCAAAATGCAGAAAATACGAACGTAGAAACAGATTTAATGAAATTTAAGCAGTTGCGATCCAGCAAAAAGGCTTACCGGCGAAAGGCAAAAACAAAGCCATAAATCAAATCCAATCATAAACGGGATTGGTGTCTTTTCTTTTCCTTTTGATCGGTTTCGCAAATAGAAAAGTGTCAAAAAAATATTTACAGGGATTAAAGAAGCTTCCGTGGAACAAGGGAAAAACCTCATACGAGTATGCTGGAGGATAGAGGATGGGCTGCAGTCAAATCAAAACAGGAGAGCGTCGGAGGTGGGTAGAGTGTGCAGAAAGCCAATGTGGAACGCGTATACATGCAGGGAAAATGAAAAAATTGTTGAAACAGAGACCGAAAGTCGGAGGGGGGAAGAGAACTTTTCTGGAACGAGTACAATACAAAATTTAATGGAGCGCAAATTTTGATTGTTTTACTTTGAGGATGGAAGTTGTTTCGTTTCCCTTCGTTTTTTTTTCGTTCATGTTCTCGTTCTCGTTTTTCGTTCCATTCTGTTTGCCTCCGCTATTTATTTATTTCGCAGCGCTTTGAATTCGCTTTCCCGCATTTTATGCATATTTCAGAACCAAATATTATCCCCCGCTATTTGCTTTGACTGGTCCCCATGGGTATTTGTTTAGCTGCGGGCTCTCTCATCTACTCTACATTCATCTAGACCGAGTACGAGTATGAGTATTCATTTAGTATTCACACAGAGTCTGGACCTGGCAGCCCCCAGGTGCTTTTTGTTTCTGTGCGGTCGGGAAGTGTCCATTGAAAAGCTTACGGAAAAAAGTTGTTGTCAATGTAATTTGATTCCCTCTCCACTATGATTGCGCATACGCTCTGTTGGGCAGAAAGCAGATTGTAATTAGACGTCCCCTGTAGCCCCTCGTACGAAAATGGAAGACAATCAGCCGAGTATTCAGGACAAAAGAAAGCACAGACCTGTGGCCTGAGACTGGCGCCATGCCATATGCTGTCTATACAGAGATGCTACACAGCATACATACATATGTACGTTTGCAATCACTTGAGAGTTTTTTGTATGACACTCTGCCATTGACTTAACACTCACGACTCTACACAACTACTAGCAGTCACAGTTTTTTGATTTTAATTACACTTTATCACTTGATTTTCAGTTGATAAAGATGGATAGTTACTGGAATTGGGAGGAAACTGAGAAGGACATCAGCTCCAGCTTTAATTTCTCCGATTTCTGGGCTTCCTTTGACTTTTCCCCGCCGGAATCCTTTAATGGAACGCCGCACATCAACATCCCAATTGCTGGGATTGAATTTGTCCTGAATCACACGAACATGCTCCAGGGTCTGAATCAAATGAAGCAACTAGACTTAATATCCTTTCCCTGGGACATGGATGTCCCAACGATAATTGGCAATGAAATAGAAATTGATGAGTCGCTGCTGAAACTGAAGATTGGTCGTAGTATGGGAATCATCAATGCTACCATTGAAAATCCGGACATAATGCCAGACGTGGAGGCATTGTGGATTCGCCCAAGAGATGTAAAAGTCCCAGAAATTAGTAAGGGTCGATTTTACAGGGGACTCCTTGGACCTATATTGGGGAGCTCTTGCTCGCCATTCGCGGCGTCTCTTAACAGAAAGATCTCCTTTTCGTCCAGAGTTGTCACATTGATGAGGGAGTTTTCAAAGGGTAAGTGGTCTGAGAGCTTACTGTGAAACCTATTCCAATGAAGAGACTCCGAGATAGAGATAGATCCCACAGCCGAAGACCAGTATGCCTATCTGGAAATGGACATTTTGTTGAAAAAGTTATTCGCACACAACTTCCTGAGACTTCTACAGGACATTGCGGATATTCAGGCCACAGATCGCCGACTGTTGAACAAGCCCATCGTTCAGCTTGGGCTTTTCAAAAATATGACTGGATGGCAACAAAAGGGTATGAAGGTTACATGATGCAACGACTGATGATGCATGTTTTTTCATTATATATTCCGTAGACTGGATACCTATCGAGATATGCAAGGAGCAAGGATGGCAAATATATCACATTTTCCTTTCGGAAAAGATGACCAACGAACTGATCGAGCAGATGCGGCTGGGTGGAAAATGGCAGATCGACTACACTTTTCCCAATTACCGCACAGGAGTTCCTGGATGTGGTTCAGACTTGTGCCGCTGGTATTGGAAGATAATTTTGAGTTAGTTCGAATTTGTCAGTTTTCCTTGAGTGGAGTTTCGCTTAGGCTGCATTATCCACACACCTAATCAAAATTTTAATCGACTTCTGAGATTGTGCAAACTGTGAATAAATTTTTGTCATGACTTGAAAAGATATCTCCACTTGCATTGCTACAGATTATCCAAAATATCATCCCCCGTGGCTGTTGGCAACTGTATGGAATTTGGCGTTGCTACAACAACTTCAGCATCGATCCAACAAGCCACCCGGCAGCGTCCAGCAGAAATATTAAGCCTTGTTTTCCGAGAGCCAGTCGCCAGAGTGGATAGCGCCATGGAATCCGACAAGTTGAACGAGCTTAACAGGCAAATTAATGAAATCAAAAAGCGGATTTTGCTGGCCGGTGAGTAGGGAACCGACACAATATTCTCGACTTGAGCTCAATTGTCTGCCCTTATCAGAGGGCCAGAAGACGGCCAATGCGGCCGAGTGGCAGAAGCAGAATCGCATCAACTGCGACACCATCGGCACTCTGAAGAAGGAGCTCAAGGAGCTGACGGTGAAGGCCAGTCGACTGCGAAATCCCCCCCAGCGTCCCGTGGTCATCAAGGAGTCGAGCAGCGAGCCGAGGCGAGCCCACAGCTGCACGCCCACAATGATTGTGGGCAAGGCCACGTATCCCGTAGGGGCAAAAAATGCCGACGATGCCCTCTTTCTGACCGACCTAAAGATCACCGAGAACCGCAAGCAGATGGACCTCCTGCGGCATCGGTTCAAGTCGCGCCAGCAGCACTTCAGCAGGCTGGTGGAGAAGTATCGCGAGTTGCTGGCCAACAAGGAGGCCCAGAACCAGAACTTGGGCGAGAAGCCACCCGAAACACTGGAGGAGGACGCCAATCGAAAGGTGAGAGACGACTCGATGAGCTCAAGAAGGAGTAGGTACTAACAAGTGGATGAGATTACAGCTCGTCTGCCAGCTGGAGAACGAGATACATCGCACCAATGTGCAGTGGATGGAGGCGGAGCACATCCGCAAGAAGTACCGCTCCATAGAGGCGTCTCTGATGAACGATGCGGAGCGGTTTGAGCGCAGTCTGCGCGAGCTAGAGGCCTCGCTAAGCGACCAGAAGGCGGAGATTGAGCGTCTTCAGCAGGTGCACAACGAGGCCATTGAGATGCGGGACGCGGCCAAGGTGGTGCTGACGCGGCAGGAACAGCAGGCCAATCTCTCCCAGAAGACGCGCGAGCGCCAGGCCCTCGACTTCCGCAAGCAAGTGGAGGCGCGCAAGCTGGAGCTGGAGAGGATCGGGCGGAAGCTGTTCGCCGAAACCAAGACCCTTGTGCACCAGGACAGCGTGGGCTCCACGTCCGGCGATCCGCTGGCGGCCAAGGCCGAAAACGGGGAGGAGGAGCCCGCCTCGCAGCTGGCGAGTGTGACCAGCGACATGGAGTCGCTGTTCAAGCAGCTAATGGAGGCCTCGGGCGCCACATCGCCCCTCGAGGTCTTCGAGCGGTTCAGCGCTCAGAAGGAGTCTGCCGCCCGCCTCAACTACCTGCGCAAGGCGGCCGAGGCCGAGAAGGCCAATCTGGAGTCGGAGCGGGAGGCACTCACCGGCGAGCTGGAAGCCTTCAAGTTCTCGGACGTCAAGGAGAGCGAAGTGTAGGTGGAATAGGGAGTAGGAAGGATACATTAAGTAATCATTTGTCCACAGGAACCAGGAGATCATCGAACAGATCAAGAATAGTATTGCCGCCAAGGAACAAGATCGCAAGCTGGACACCGATGCAGCCGACAAGTCCATGGGGGTGCTGAAGTACCTCAAGGAGCGCATCTGTGAAATGATATTCAAGGTGCAGGAAGTGGATGAGAACAACATCGAGCTGCCCGACCGCAGGCTTCACGTGACTGTTGCAGAACTCCCCAGCTTTCTGACCCACACTGCCCAAGACGAGGAACTAATTGAGGTAGCCGTGGACACCAAGATCCAATAGGCTCTTTAGCTACATGTTCAACAAATACTAATAGCTTTTCTCTTAGATACTGCAGTTGAAAATCAAACGCTGCCAGGAACTGAGCAAGTCGGAGGATGTGCCGCCTTTCGAGATACCCAAGCTGGACATCGTTGAGCAGAAGGAAGAAGAGGAGCTGTACACGACCGAGCCACCAAAGTCCCCATCAGCTCCGGAAGGCGAAAAGCCCCAGCCAATGCCCCTGTGCTACTACAATCTCTTCGCTGGACGCGCCCAACGAGCCGCAGGCACGTCCTCATCCTCACCAGAGCAGGCACCCGCAGCGGGTAAGATCATTGCATGTTTTTCTTTTAAGTTGGCTTTAATCTTAGCGTTGTGTTCCACAGTTGCCGCCACAGATGACGACACCGAAGTGCCCTCGCGGAACTTCCTCAAGCGCCAGTCCGTGTTCATCGTGGACTCAAAGTCCCGCCGGAAACCGTTCAGACCTACGCCAGGCGGTAGGCGCAAGTAATTTAAGAATAATATTTAGATTAAGGGTACTATGATTAGATGAGCAACTGCCGTTTGTATAAATAAATTGTCATAATCTGCTGGTATTCCAAATACCAACAACCAATCTCACATGCGGAGAGTGGAAACATTCGGATATGCCATGAAGTGAGTGCCTGCCTATTCAGGGATAAAATTTCAAACACAAGCTGCGGAGAGGGAAAGCTAGATACATCGCCCAGGGACGATTTAATATCTGCGGAGTCGCATGCTTTTCCTCGTAGATGAATGCTGCCGTTCCCGGCCCCAGTCAAATGACATAACAAATAGCCATCCTCTGTGGATGCATCTACTACATACTACCACTAGAAGGATGCCGTCAACGACAACGAAACGAGTAAACAGAATTTACTGCCCCGAGGCGGAGGACAGCAAATGAAGTGCAAAACGGAACAAAGTGCGGACCGCGGCTGTTGCAAGAGAAATAACCTTTCAAAAATTGTTTACACCAGTGGCAATAGGGCCAGGAGGGAGCAGAAGAAGGAGCCAGCAGGATGGATGTCCTGGCTTTTCTAGTTAGCAACAATAAAGTGCACCAGCTGACGACGAACAGCCAGAGCCCACAGCCCAGAGCAAGAGCTGCAAAAGGATGCGACGGAGACAAGGCAGCTGTAAACTTCAGTGGCGATGTGCAAACAAAGATGCCCGATGATCCATTGCCATGGCCATGGCCCGTTGCCGGAAGTGGAGAAAGAGATGGCAAGGACATGGACGAGGATGACGAGGATGAAAACGGAGACGGAGACTGGGATCTGTGTTGTGTGTGGTGTGTGTCAACTAAATGTCAACAACGACGACATGAACCACAGCAGACGCATACAAACAACTCGGCAGTGCCACGGAAGATGAGGATGGAAATGAGGACTCTGAAGAGAATGGTACTCCGAAAGGGTCCACTGAAAGTTCCTTCGCTCGCAAGAAGTCTGAGGTTGAGGCAAGAAAAACAAAAGCAGAGCCGGACGCCTGGGGGTGAGAAAATTATAGAAGGATGAGAAGAGTACTGGCAGTGGCATTGGCCCTGGCACTGGCTCTGGCTGTGGCCTCAACTGCAATGAATGTGGTCGGGCCAAGTCTAGGGCTTTGGGTGTGCTCTCTGCCTTGGAATGCCGCGGCCTGCGGTTGATCCGGCATTGAATGCCTGGCCCCGGCTCTCCCACGGCACGCCTCTCCATTCACGGCTCTTCGGTCTTTGTCCGTCACTGTCAGCGAACGTACTGGATGGACAATGGGGCTATTGCAGCGGTTAAATGAATGCTTACGATTCATTCTTTTAAATGGGAAATGAGGGAGCAGCAGAAGCCAAGTAATTTATATGGAAATTGATTAAAGACAGTAGGGGTAGTATGTTGATGAGGTTAAACAAGAATGGGGAATGGGAACTAAACTTAAATTTAATAGGAATGACTTTTTCCTCTCTCCCAAGTGTCCTGTTTTTGAGTTGCTCCTGTCAATCCTGCTCTCTCTTTTGGTTGCGTGGCGATGAGTCATTGATGTGGCGTACACGAACTGCAGCTATTTTCAATGTTATTCCGAAGTGAATAAGCATTTAAACAGCGCCTTTCTATGCGCTTCTCATGAGTGGCAGCTAAGCAGAAGCCATGGTTCATGTTACATTAATTTAATTAACATTTAAAATAAATTGTTAACATTTTTATAATACTTAACATTAAATTCAAATTTTAACGAACTTTTTAACAGCGCCTTTCTATGCGCTTCTCATGAGTGGCAGCTAAGCAGAAGCCATGGCTAATGTTTACATTAAATTAATTAACATTTAAAATATATTGTTAACATTAACATAATACTTAACATTTAATTCAAATTTAAACCGTTTTTTTAACAGCGCCTTTCTATGCGCTTCTCATAAGTTATACTTAAGCAGGCCTGTTTTTCAGCAATTAGTTTTTTTTAATGTGTGTGTGTTTCTTATGTGTTCTTTCCTCCCTCTCTCTCTCCCTCTCTCTTTCTCTTTCACTCTAACTCTCTCTCTCTCTCTCTTTCACTCTAACTCTCTCTCTCTCTCTCTCTTTCACTCTAACTCTCTCTCTCTCTCTCTCTCTCTCTCTTTCACTCTAACTCTCTCTCACTCTCTCTCACTCACTCACTCTCTCTCTCTCTCTCTCTCTCACTCTCTCACTCACTCACTCTCTCTCTCTCTCTCTCTCTCTCTCTTTCTCTCTCTTTCTCTCTCTCACTCTCTCACTCACTCTCTCTCTCTCACTCTCTCACTCTCTCTCTCTCTCTCTCTCTCTTTCTCTCTCTCTCACTCTCTCAATCTCTCACTCTCCCTCTTTCTCTTTCTTCTTCTCTCTCTCTCTCTCTTCCATCTGCTCTCTCTTTGTTTTTTTTATTCCTTTTTCATTAATTTTCTCTCTCTCTCTCTCAAATACACTCAGATGGACTACCACATATAATGTGCAACATCAAACTGATGCCTCCGATACCATCAAGCACCCTGACCTACACAGTTCGTTCATCATCATTCATCAGCTTCTAGCAGCCATACGTTACCTTCTACCGTACCTTCTGCCACCAATAGATTGAATAATGGGTAATATATACCAACACTTGCCTTCCTACCTTTGGCTTTGTGATTGCCTGTTGTATCCGTTTATCCGAGGACGCTTTTTGCCGGTTGACACTGTTTTCAAAAATCCAAAAAGTGCTCTTCCGCAATTACTAAACTCTAATCCGAGTAAGCCCCTGCCCACCCCAAACACCACAAAACCTTGAGGGGAATGGAATGCTCTAATTAAAGGTAAGTGATGGCAAAACCGAAACGGCTTACTGCCTTCCGTCGTGGCTCCTCCACGGTGTGTTCGTACTCGTAATTGGATAGTCACGGACCGGGTCTTATCCCGCCATTAATTCTTGCTGGGAACCCAATCCCACTCCCGGGGCTGTGGTTCCGGCCACACCCACTTTTAAGGCAATTAAGCGGTTCAATCTCGCATCAGCCGTAAATCAAACGCCCATCGATTCGCAAGACGCAACTAATTTTAAGCCCATTGACTAAAGAGAGGCGTGGCATGGTGTGGCATGGCGTGGCGTGGCGCCTGGAAACCGCAAAACAATAAATTTGAATTTCTGCTGCCGCCGATGGAAAACTTTTTAACTGTGCATCAAACCACACAGCGACAACCGAAAGGACATCAGTATATGTGTGTGTGGGTGTGCGGGTGTGTGGCCCGAATGTGTGTGTGTGTGTGACAGTCTCGCAAATAAATGAGCGGAAACGGAAACGTTATGCGGGGGGCCCCCGAGTGCCTCCATCGTGCGGGCTCAGCGAATGATAAATAACGTAATTTCTTTACAACTTTTCATTCAAATTTTCGCAACTTTCGAGCGACCGCCCGCCCTCTCAGTACCCCTCGTGTTTGTCGGCTTGTTGTTGAGTAAAATAAATTGCGATTCCCTGTAATAAAAGTCAATCATCATAATTCAATGACTCGACGCATTGTTGTGCTCCCTTGGGTCGAGGAGGACAATGTCCCGTGCCTCGTGCTCCGTGCTCCGTGCTCTCACTGCCTGCAGCCATCTCCAGGACCGTTTTACTGCTCGTTGGTCTGGTCCCGTATTTCGGCATCAGCATTTGCCGTATATCTGGCATTGGCATGGGCGCAGAATATTTGAATTTGAATTATTCTTTGATTAATTTGAGTTTTGCCCCAGGACGATCCCCAGGAGGTTTCAAGACCATTCAAGTGTGCAAACAGCAGACATCTGATGAACGTCAGGGAGATAACCACAGATATTAGAACTATCCACCCAGGATCTAAGACGACTATCACCTTCACGGTGATTGCTTCCATTGGCCAGAGACTAGTTGGAGCTTCAATATGGATCTGTGATATTCTTGCCACCCAACCCAAGAGCCAGAGAGTGTTCTTTGTGGAGGAGAGAACCTCCGTCCCCTGCCTCTTCCCCGAGACAACAATTTTGAATGGAAAATTGGAAAAATGTGCTGAGCATAAATCTTGTCTCCGGCACTCACTTTCCCCCAAAAACCTTGTGCTGCGAAGCTCTTTTTGCTGCTTCTCCGGAGGGCTAGTGGCCTTGGAGGAAAGCACTCGTCTGTTTTTCCGTAGACAATTGATGGTGAAACAATTAATTATGGTATATCGATTGCACCAAGCAGAGGATAGTACAGAGCACACGGATAAGCTGTGAACTTCATATATAGATATCCATTACAGCGAATGGGGAACTTTAATGAGAAATAATTGTCAAAATGTCAAGTTTTTTGTGAGTGGGAAATACTTTAGCCAGCCCTGTAGCAGACCCTGTAGTTCGGAAAGTATTTTCTGCACTGCCCTAAAGTCTCGTCAAAGTAGGGATGGCTTGAGGGACATTTCTCCCGGCCCACCGACTGCTGGTTCTGGCAGAGCGTGTACTCCCTACACTCCATATCGAGTGTGGCCGCATGGCACTGGGAAAGATTGCGCAGCGATCGTATGGTCAGCTGGTCGTCTCCACCACAGAAAGTGGGTTCACACTGGACAGCTGTCCCACTCCCCTGAGGCGGACTTGGAGCTGCATCTGTAGTAGCCAAAATTGTAATTGGTTGACTGAATGACGGTTCTACACTGACATTTAAGAGAAACTTGTGGAGATATGATAAACATGCAAAACTTTCACGATTAATGCATACTCCAGGGCACTCTTGGAGGTCGTCCCGTTGAGTCAAGCTTTTTACAAATATACGAGTAGTTGAAAGAGATACCTAAAAAGGATAACGAAATAGTCAACTTATTCAAGAACGAGCATTCGAATTTGATCCGAATTGAATATAAATTTGATTGATTTGGAGCGTAATTTATGTCTATTGATCTTCACGAGTAATCAGCTAAATATGTATATTAGTTCTGGTTAGTTTTTGTTCAGGGTATGTTGCATTTAGTTTCATTTTTCCCTTTTTCTGCACGTGTTTTCATTCTCAGCTAAGCATCCAATATGCCGGCACTCGTGCACAAAGGATATCTCCTGCAGATGCTGCACTTTTGTATCTTTGCCAGAGCGTTTTGTAGACGCAACTTTGTGACTGGGCTCCCCGCGCAGCATCCCCCCATGGCCAGGAGCCCGTCAGAGCCAGAGACATCGAGAGACTCCCAATAATGCAAGCAGAAATTTGCTTATCCAAGTACGTACATATATAGTATATCGGGAAATATGAGATGCATGCACAAAGATATTCCTCTGCCTGTATGTGTGTGTGTCTGATTGTGCTTTTCCGTGTCTTTTGCATTGTTCGCGCGATTCCGGCAAGGAGTCATGCAGGCGGCAGCAACGGCGACGGCATGGCATGGCATGGCATGGCACGGCACTCAGTGGCTTGTCGCAATGTAAACTGCTTAGCATCGATTGGGCGCACTTATTGACATTTTATGCTTAAGGACATGCTTAATATCCTCAACGTGCGCTTACGCTTACGCTTTCTCCTTGCTGCCTTCTCAGGAGACGGCTGTACAATGGGCAGGATATAGATATCCATCCAGCCCTTCGCCTGCTTTGTTATTACGCTGCGACTTAAAGTGATTTTTTTAATTTAAATTGGATACTTAGTTTTTCCATCTTAAAGGACAAATATGCTACTCGAACTTGATTGAATGCTGGGTCTCCAAATGGGTCACAATCTGGAGTTTAGTCTTGACCAATGGACATTCAGTTAAGTAAGCATGAATATTACTATACATTTTGTTCTATTCTGATATATTTTTCGTTACAGCTTTACCCACCGTGCGGGAAAAAAAATCTTGCTTCTTAGAGCATAAAAACAGTTGCCATCATCGGATGCTGGGTGAGGAGGCGGAGGCTGATGTCTAGCGGCAGGGACATCTATGTGTACTCTTAAATGCAAATGGCATGGACGGGGTGGGGTGGTGGCCACTTTGGCCCCTGGGCTCTTACCACTTCCGGGGCTCAAGGACGGTGGGTCCCAGAGGCGGCGCCGTTACGCTTCCGCTTTCTCCTGCCACACGGTAGTTATGGCGCTCATCACCATCGTGACCGTCAACGCTGTGGAGACCAGCTGGCGGCCACCATGCCATCCAGGCCACCCGGCCAACTACTTGGCCGTAATTTTCTTTTCAATCAGTGGGGCCCGACCCTGCCTTTCCCTGGTCGTCTCTGTCCGTTGGTGTCTGTGTCTCCGAGTATCTGCGTGGATTCCGTTGCTCTGTCGACTGTCCGTCTAATTGTCCATCCCATCGGCCCCCCTCCTATCCACTTGCCTGCACGGCTTCCGGTGTTTGCGTGCCGGATTCTTGTGCGCCTCCCAGGCCGTACGTACTCCTTGTAGTTTTTCCCACATGTTCACGGCTTGAATATTTAATGGGCTTAAGTACTTTTAGCTACGGCCTTTGCACGACATGGCACCTTGCACTGTGGTCCTGCAGGCCGAGGACGCTCATAAATTCATTAGATAAGGTTGCTCCTACCTCTTGGCCATTGTTTGCCACTTGCCCGGGCTCCACTTGTTGAGAGTATGGGGCTCCATTAACATACCTGCAATGATAAGGAACAGCAGGGAGCAGATGTCAGAAGAGCTGCATAGAGTGCTCCAAGCCGTGGTCCAAATCGAATAACGCCGAAGATAACGTCTCATCTCTTATACTAGGCAGCCTGTACGCTTCAGGGAGCATCATAGTTGTTCTGATTGCTTCAACATTCTGAGATATTTAACCACCTGAGATATTTACCTGCTGTGTTGACTGGTTTTGAGGCGCCACTTGAGCCGCTGGCGGCATGGCAGCGCGAGGACGAAGGACAGAGCAGGTCAAGGATTAACACGCTCTCTCCACCTGTCTCATATAACTCATTTTAATTAGATCAAATATGCAAAGAAAACGGAAAAGTGCCGAGCCAGGCAAAAGGGAAAAGGCTGCAGCGTCTTTGGCCCGGCAAGACCCCAAGGAGCTGGCGGATGGTGAATGGTGTGGGCGGCCGGGTTCATAAGCGGCAACGGGCTCAATGAGATGCAAAGGACGATAAACAAGCCCGCTGGCGTCGAGGATGCTCCGAGGATGTTCCGAGGATGCTGGCGAAACAAGGTTACGAGTTCTCCACTCGTCAGGACCGAACTCGAAGGCGGTGGCGAGGACAGAGGAGTTGGCGGAAGGATGTTGCCGGAGAGCAAGAAAGAAAGTGCAAAGGCAGCCACCAAGTCATATTTCTCTTGGCCAAAATGAAAACGCCAAACAAATGAAGGAGGGAAGAGCCAAAGCTGGAGCAGAAGGCAGACAGGAAGAATTATGGGAGCTTCTTTTCAAGTTGAATGTTGCGGCTTGGGTGGGTCGGTGGTGCTGTTGGCAGGGGCTGCACGTACTGGCGAGTATTTTGGCAAAATTAAAATTTATGAAGAGATAAAAAAGCGTTAATGGGCACTCGCCGAGGTCACGACTGGACTGGCCTCGCCTCGCCTCGCCCGTACGGGTGTTAGTGTGTGTGCTGGCAGTTGGCACCATTTGGCGATTGGCAAATGAAGCGGACTCCACGAGGTAGAGGAGCCACGGGACGGCCATCGTCCACGACATTGTGCTCAGGCTGGCCGTAAACGCTGCATTTTTATTGCAGATTCCTTGCAAAGAGCCGACATTATTGTAGGTGCAGGCTCCGCATTCCAGATGGGCACCACCTCGGGTCGGTGTCAATGTGGCCTGGGGCAGTCAGTGTCGGCACTAGAAAATGCGAACGATGGGAGATGGGTGGCACTTTGCCAGAAGCCACGTGTTGCCATTGTGTGGCGCCACTTAGAGTAAAAGTCGTCTCCCCCATGAGGTGTCGTAAGACAATGATTGGACCAGAGTGTAGTCCCTCATCCACAGACATCTAATGACTTTGCTTGCAGCTCTGCATGGTTGTTGGAGCCGTGTAAATGTTGTCATTGCTCTTGAGATTTTCGCTCGTTTCTTGTGATATTCACGGCCTCAGCGTCTCACACTTTTGCGCTCTTGAAACAATGTCAAGTCGTAGTTGTTGACAGCGTTTTGAGAGCCCCTTTGCACAATGCCGGGGCCGTGGCGAAGAGCTGGAGATTCCGACCAGGCTAATGGTATTTGCATGTTGGTGCCCCTGTTTGGGGTACTTGCTGCTCCCGGCCACGTCCTCTGCATCTTTGCCCCAGTCACGCACGTATGCGGGGGTCACAGGCAAGGGCTGCCCCTTTGGACGGATGCAAATACGCGTGAGTGGCGCCTCGGTCAACTTTGACTGCGACCAGGCCTTGGACAGGACTCTCTGAGATGGGTCTTCGGCGTGGCTTCAGCTGTGTGTGTGGGTGGGTGGTGGTTGTCTGCGGGGCCCTAACGACCTTTTAAATGTGCGTCTAATTATGTTTACGTGCGCTGTCCCGGACGACACCCGAGACTCAGGAATGGCCCGGGATGGCTAAATTGCGAAGCAAGTGGGAGCAGGGAGCACTCTCCGGAATCGTGGGTCGCTCCAGCAAATCCATTTGCTTACAACTTGTTAATAATGCGGGTTTACGGTCACTCTGTGTCGCAACGTGACGAACCCTTGGCCAAAGTATTGTTTTAATTTTTAATTGGATGCGGGATTTGCTGTGGATGTGGGTGGACACCCGAGCCTACACCCTGGCCGCTCTTCCAAGTATTCGGATATTTCGAGACACCAGAAACTTGGGCCACATTTTTCCTTTGAAGCGGAAACTTTGGCTCCTCATGATTTATTAATTTGTGTTTGCTAATCGCTCTCTGATAACAGCTTTCTTAGTTAAGTTTTAGTAGCCCCAAAAGAGCTGGAGAATAAGGACTTCATTATGAAACGCACATTACATAGATATGGGTAGCATTACGAGGACCGACAGCAGTTTTCCATTGGGGCAAAATATCGTTATAATCCAATCTAAACTGTTTATAAAATTCAAGCATACTCTGAATTACCCTAAAAGGGAATTTTTAATTAAATCTAAGAGCAAAGTACTTGAAATTAATTTGTGCTTCGCTTAAGAATAATTAGAGTGCAATTATATATCTGTCTTAGCAGCAAAAGTTTCCAGTTTCAAAGGTCTCTGTCTCTTGTCAGTCAAATATCAGTTTACATTTGTCGTACATCCTGAAATATCATTCCTCCTCTGTCACAGGACACCTTTGACCTTATTAAACTCCAGGCTGACCTATTAATATTAATTTCTTTTTTTTAAAGCCTCCCCCTGCCACCTTATGCCGCGATGCATCTTAAAAGGATTTCGCATATTGCCACACGTATTGTAAATTAATAATCGGAGTGCCGCAGGAAGCTGTTGGTGGTCCCGGTAGAGAGGAGGAGAGTGAGAACAAAGGGAAACCATCCTTGAGTTATTCATAGCAGGGGGCAGGCCAGGATGGAATATTGGTTTTTAATAACCCACATCTGGGGGGCGCGCCCCCGCCTGTTCTAGGGCGTCCCCCCCCCCCCCCCCCCCCCCCCCCCCCCCCCCCCCCCCCCCCCCCCCCCGTGGCGCGACCCCCCCCCCCCCCCCCCCCCCCCCCCCCCCCCCTTTCACGCCGCTGGGGCGCTCCTCGGTCTCTGCTCGGCCGGGGGCTCTGTCCTCGTGGCCCCCTGGGGGCGGATCCCCCCGCTTACTGGCGGGGTTGTGGCGCTCTAAACCGTCCTCTTCGCTGCCCTCCTCCCCCCGCCGAGCCCCGGGCGGGTCCCTCTCCGCTCCTCCCCCCTCATGTCCCCCTGTCGCCCCCCGCGGCCGGTCGGGGGCGGCCCCCTCGCGTAAGGGTCGTCCGGTGCCGGCGGTGGCTGCGTGGCTCCGTTCGCTGGGGGTCCTGGTTGGTCCCCCGGGCTCGATCCCCCTCGCCTCGCCGCTCCAACCTCGGGTAACCACCCCGGTATCCCATTATGCTGACTCCCCCAACTCTGGCGGTCCCCCCCGTGTGTGGGCTGTGGGTGGCTTCAGGGCCTGGGTGGGGGGTCCCCCTTTCCTCTTGGTAGCTCTCTGAGTGGCCCCCTGCCCGCTGGTCGAATGTCGTGCGGTACTGAGGGTGTGGGTGCAATGGCGTAAGTCCCGCTCTTCACGGGGGGTGTCGGCTAGGCCGGCCCATGGCAGCAATAAACCATTGTATTTTATTTGTTGTGTGTTGGTTTGTGTGGTTGCGCCGCTGTGGTGGAGGCTGTCAGAACCTTCGTTCGTCTCTCTGTTAATTTGCTTGGGTGACCCCTCCACTAGTAAACTAAACCTTACATATAACCCCGTCTGACCGCCCCTCCAATCCTAGTACAACCCTTGTAGTTTTGGATAAAACTATATTAACTAAGTAATAAACTGTGAATACATTAACTGAACAATCATCGCCTTTTTAATAATATCGCAATACAACGCTACTGAAGAAGCTCAGTAGCTCAACAAGTCCTTACGCTTAATGCCTGTGTCGAAAGGCGAACAACTTGCCACGCCCTCCAGCTCGCCCTTTTACGGGCACTTGCCAAAACCGGAACGGGGATGCGGAGTGAAATGAAACGAATCCGTTGAATCCGTTGCGTTTATTGCACAGCCGGCAACAAAATGTTTTATTCGTCAGACGATAAACCATAAATGCAAGCCAAGTTCGTTTCCCGGAAAAACCGAAGCAACAGCAGCAGACACATATACACACCTCTCTCTGTACGGGTAATTAGAGATTCGTCAGGTAATGGGCCGCATTAACTTTATTGGCTT